TCTTAAAGCTGTCAAGTTACAAGATCCTTGCCAGTGGTGGGTTTCAAAAAAAATTTGGAACCTCTTCTGTAGGTGTGGCCTGCTTTCCGGGTCCAAATGTGGTGGACATAATTTACTTGGAGTTAAGTAAGGCATCTGATAAAGTAGACCACGATGTACTACTTGGTAAGTCAGAAAGATGACAGCATCACCACCAGATGGATTCATAACTGGCTGACCCAACCCCATTCAACATGTAACCTTCAATGGAGCTACAGCTACATGGTAGGAAGTATGTGCCTTAATACGTACATTACTTAAAGGTTAAAACCTTGCCCTGACACCAAGCTGAAGAGTAGAGGAATCAAGGGAACAAAGAAATAAAATATTTTCTGCAGTCTTCTCCCCTGAACTAAAGGGGGGGGGGGAGTCAGCTCTAAAAAAAAGAGACACATCTAAAAGTTGTGCAACACAATGGTGGACACTTGGCAAGCTCTGGCTGACTGCCTATAGAGGGCAATCTATAGTCTAGCTAACTGGAGCATGGGTTTAGGAGAGCTTAAGCTTGCAAAGACCCAGATGCCTTCATTTTGTTACACAACTTTTAGAGATGACTTCATTTTTTTTTTAGTTCAAGGCTAAAAGCTGCAGAAATGTTGCCCTCAATTTTGTGCAAATAAATCAGTAACTAAACAGTAAAGAGAGACTGGAATATTCAGAACTAGTTACTTTTATGTGCACCCTATTCAGCTTTTCTTCTCAAAAAGCAACACAGTTGTCTATTTATGCAATAATAGGTAGAGAATACAGAACCTTATTATCATCTCAGTTAAGACGGGTGGACTTCAACTCCCAGAATTCTCCAGCCGGTATCCCGACAAGAGAATTCTGGGACTCGAAGTACAAACTTCTTAACATTGCTGAGATTGAAAAAATAATCTATACTATACTATCTATACATTTTTTTCCTTTGCTCACTTCACTCCTGTACTTTTTCAGCCCGGAGTCAAGGTGAGGTTTTTAAAAAGGGATTAGAGAGAAGGAAAGTTTAGTTTTAGCACCTAATGGGGTAGCAGCACCTGATCTGGTTCCACCACAAATCCGTGGTAGACTAAAGCGCGCTCGATGAAAGCGCGTACGTGACGTCATCACAGCGCGATGAAAACGGCACGCTGTGAGCGGTAAATTTAAAATTAACACGAAAACCTTACCCTAACCCCCCCAAACCTAACCCTAAACCTAACCCTAAGCCTAAACCTAACCCTAACCCTAACCCTTAACCTAACCCTAACCCTAACCCTTAACCTAACGCTAACCCTTAACCTAACCCTAACCCTAACCCTTAACCTAAC